AACCAGGACTGAACCAGACCCAAACCAGGACTGAACCAGACCCAAACCAGGACTGAACCAGACCCAAACCAGGACTGAACCAGACCAAACCAACCAGCAGGACTGAACCAGACCCAAACCAGGACTGAACCAGACCCAAACCAGGACTGAACCAGACCTAAACCAGGACTGAACCAGACCCAAACCAGGACTGAACCAGACCCAAAAACCAGGACTGAACCAGACCTAAACCAGGACTGAACCAGACCCAAACCAGGACTGAACCAGACCCAAACCAGGACTGAACCAGACCCAAACCAGGACTGAACCAGACCTAAACCAGGACTGAACCAGACCTAAACCAGGACTGAACCAGACCCAAACCAGGACTGAACCAGACCCAAACCAGGACTGAACCAGACCCAAACCAGGACTGAACCAGACCTAAACCAGGACTGAACCAGACCTAAACCAGGACTGAACCAGACCCAAACCAGGACTGAACCAGACCTAAACCAGGACTGAACCAGACCTAAACCAGGACTGAACCAGACCCAAACCAGGACTGAACCAGACCTAAACCAGGACTGAACCAGACCCAAACCAGGACTGAACCAGACCTAAACCAGGACTGAACCAGACCTAAACCAGGACTGAACCAGACCTAAACCAGGACTGAACCAGACCTAAACCAGGACTGAACCAGACCCAAACCAGGACTGAACCAGACCTAAACCAGGACTGAACCAGACCTAAACCAGGACTGAACCAGACCCAAACCAGGACTGAACCAGACCTAAACCAGGACTGAACCAGACCCAAACCAGGACTGAACCAGACCCAAACCAGGACTGAACCAGACCTAAACCAGGACTGAACCAGACCTAAACCAGGACTGAACCAGACCCAAACCAGGACTGAACCAGACCTAAACCAGGACTGAACCAGACCTAAACCAGGACTGAAACCAGACCCAAACCAGGACTGAACCAGACCTAAACCAGGACTGAACCAGACCTAAACCAGGACTGAACCAGACCCAAACCAGGACTGAACCAGACCTAAACCAGGACTGAACCAGACCCAAACCAGGACTGAACCAGACCCAAACCAGGACTGAACCAGACCTAAACCAGGACTGAACCAGACCTAAACCAGGACTGAACCAGACCTAAACCAGGACTGAACCAGACCTAAACCAGGACTGAACCAGACCTAAACCAGGACTGAACCAGACCTAAACCAGGACTGAACCAGACCTAAACCAGGACTGAACCAGACCTAAACCAGGACTGAACCAGACCTAAACCAGGACTGAACCAGACCCAAACCAGGACTGAACCAGACCTAAACCAGGACTGAACCAGACCCAAACCAGGACTGAACCAGACCTAAACCAGGACTGAACCAGACCCCCCAACCAGGACTGAACAGACCTAAACCAGGACTGAACCAGACCTAAACCAGGACTGAACCAGACCTAAACCAGGACTGAACCAGAACCCAGGACTGAACCAGACGAAACCAGGACTGAACCAGACCCAAACCAGGACTGAACCAGACCCAAACCAGGACTGAACCAGACCCAAACCAGGACTGAACCAGACCTAAACCAGGACTGAACCAGACCTAAACCAGGACTGAACCAGACCTAAACCAGGACTGAACCAGACCTAAACCAGGACTGAACCAGACCTAAACCAGGACTGAACCAGACCCAAACCAGGACTGAACCAGACCTAAACCAGGACTGAACCAGACCCAAACCAGGACTGAACCAGACCTAAACCAGGACTGAACCAGACCCAAACCAGGACTGAACCAGACCCAAACCAGGACTGAACCAGACCCAAACCAGGACTGAACCAGACCCCAAACCAGGACTGAACCAGACCTAAACCAGGACTGAACCAGACCTAAACCAGGACTGAACCAGACCTAAACCAGGACTGAACCAGACCCAAACCAGGACTGAACCAGACCCAAACCAGGACTGAACCAGACCCAAACCAGGACTGAACCAGACCCAAACCAGGACTGAACCAGACCTAAACCAGGACTGAACCAGACCTAAACCAGGACTGAACCAGACCCAAACCAGGACTGAACCAGACCCAAACCAGGACTGAACCAGACCCAAACCAGGACTGAACCAGACCCAAACCAGGACTGAACCAGACCCAAACCAGGACTGAACCAGACCTAAACCAGGACTGAACCAGACCCAAACCAGGACTGAACCAGACCTAAACTAGGACTGAACCAGACCCAAACCAGGACTGAACCAGACCCAAACCAGGACTGAACCAGACCCAAACCAGGACTGAACCAGACCTAAACCAGGACTGAACCAGACCCAAACCAGGACTGAACCAGACCCTAAACTAGGACTGAACCAGACCCAAACCAGGACTGAACCAGACCCAAACCAGGACTGAACCAGACCCAAACCAGGACTGAACCAGACCTAAACCAGGACTGAACCAGACCCAAACCAGGACTGAACCAGACCTAAACCAGGACTGAACCAGACCCAAACCAGGACTGAACCAGACCCAAACCAGGACTGAACCAGACCTAAACCAGGACTGAACCAGACCCAAACCAGGACTGAACCAGACCTAAACCAGGACTGAACCAGACCCAAACCAGGACTGAACCAGACCCAAACCAGGACTGAACCAGACCCAAACCAGGACTGAACCAGACCCAAACCAGGACTGAACCAGACCCAAACCAGGACTGAACCAGACCCAAACCAGGACTGAACCAGACCCAAACCAGGACTGAACCAGACCCAAACCAGGACTGAACCAGACCTAAACCAGGACTGAACCAGACCTAAACCAGGACTGAACCAGACCTAAACCAGGACTGAACCAGACCTAAACCAGGACTGAACCAGACCTAAACCAGGACTGAACCAGACCCAAACCAGGACTGAACCAGACCTAAACCAGGACTGAACCAGACCTTAAACAGGACTGAACCAGACCCAAACCAGGACTGAACCAGACCAAACCAGGACTGAACCAGACGACCTAAACCAGGACTGAACCAGACCTAAACCAGGACTGAACCAGACCTAAACCAGGACTGAACCAGACCTAAACCAGGACTGAACCAGACCCTAAACCAGGACTGAACCAGACCTAAACCAGGACTGAACCAGACCTAAACCAGGACTGAACCAGACCCAAACCAGGACTGAACCAGACCTAAACCAGGACTGAACCAGACCTAAACCAGGACTGAACCAGACCTAAACCAGGACTGAACCAGACCTAAACCAGGACTGAACCAGACCTAAACCAGGACTGAACCAGACCTAAACCAGGACTGAACCAGACCTAAACCAGGACTGAACCAGACCCAAACCAGGACTGAACCAGACGTAAACCAGGACTGAACCAGACCTAAACCAGGACTGAACCAGACCTAAACCAGAACTGAACCAGACCTAAACCAGGACTGAACCAGACCTAAACCAGGACTGAACCAGACCCAAACCAGGACTGAAACCAGACCCAAACCAGGACTGAACCAGACCTAAACCAGGACTGAACCAGACCTAAACCAGGGACTGAAACCAGACCTAAACCAGGACTGAACCAGACCCAAACCAGGACTGAACCAGACCTAAACCAGGACTGAACCAGACCCAAACCAGGACTGAACCAGACCTAAACCAGGACTGAACCAGACCTAAACCAGGACTGAACCAGACCTAACCAGGACTGAACCAGACTAAACCAGGACTGAACCAGACCTAAACCAGGACTGAACCAGACCTAAACCAGGACTGAACCAGACCTAAACCAGGACTGAACCAGACCCTAAACCAGGACTGAACCAGACGTTAAACCAGGACTGAACCAGACCTAAACCAGGACTGAACCAGACCTAAACCAGGACTGAACCAGACCTAAACCAGGACTGAACCAGACCCTAAACCAGGACTGAACCAGACCCAAACCAGGACTGAACCAGACCTAAACCAGGACTGAACCAGACCCAAACCAGGACTGAACCAGACCTAAAACCAGGACTGAACCAGACCTAAACCAGGACTGAACCAGACCCAAACCAGGACTGAACCAGACCCAAACCAGGACTAAACCAGACCCAAACCAGGACTGAACCAGACCCAAACCAGGACTGAACCAGACCCAAACCAGGACTGAACCAGACCTAAACCAGGACTGAACCAGACCCAAACCAGGACTGAACCAGACCCAAACCAGGACTAAACCAGACCCAAACCAGGACTGAACCAGACCCAAACCAGGACTGAACCAGACCTAAACCAGGACTGAACCAGACCTAAACCAGGACTGAACCAGACCCAAACCAGGACTGAACCAGACCTAAACCAGGACTGAACCAGACCCAAACCAGGACTGAACCAGACCCAAACCAGGACTAAACCAGACCCAAACCAGGACTGAACCAGACCCAAACCAGGACTGAACCAGACCTAAACCAGGACTGAACCAGACCTAAACCAGGACTGAACCAGACCTAAACCCTCATATTATTGTAGCTTCATGAAAAAACAGCCATACAGAAACAAATTTCAGGAATTGTTCATGTACAGTAGTTTTTCTTTGTGTTTTAGATAATGGAGATATTATTTATGTAGTGTGTCCTTCTGCTCTAAAGTTGTTATATTCACTTTTGCCCTTTATCACAGATTCATCTCTGTAATGAGAGGATCTAACATTTACATTTATCTATAAAGAAAGTGCCTGATTTTGTTTGTTCAACTGGAACTTTGTCTCTCTTAACATACGACAATATTCTTTAAAAAAAATGTTTGTACAAGAACTGAACTCTGAAAGAATGATTGAACTGAACTCTCCGAGGCCACATTCCCAGTGTGACATAACAGCAAGTCTAAATTCATTGATGCAAAATGACATAACTACAAAGCCAAATAATTGCAGTCCTTATGCTTTGTAATTGCATCTACTTCAACCGCAAATTAGATTTACGGTAGAACTTGCTTCCCTAGAGCCGACATGCAACAAGCTGCCTGCCCAGAACAGAGCAGGGGGGGTGGGGTGGGTGTAGTGTCTGGGACCGCCCCATGCAGTCCAACAGTACACACTGGGAGGAGGTCTGGCTCTAGAGCAGTGCCTCCAGGGAAGTCATACCAGAGTCAGAACCAGAGCGGACTACTGCACAAGGCTGCTGTATCTTACCCATGTGGTGACCAGGAAGCCAGAGCATCTCGATATCAACATGGGAGCCTGCTGCTTCGACAAAAAGGAGAGGAAAATAGGGAATGCCTGGAGAAAGGTTGGACACTTTTTGAATGTTGTTTTGAACTAATGCGTTTTGGCCGATGGGAAGAATTACACAAGTTGACAGCCAAAAAATGGTCAGGGGTTTCTCAACTGATTCAGACTAATGTTGGTGTTCTGAGTCTGAATATCACATGCATTTGTCTCTATCAGGTCAACTTTTTGAGATACAGCCATAGTGTTACGGATTATTATGAATTCTGCTTATCAAATTGGATGGAGTAAATAAAAACTGAATGACTTTGGATACGTTTACTTTTATTTCTTGAGGAAAACGGAAAAAACGTCAAGGGTTTCTCAGCTGATGATCCGCAGAAATTTGTTTTTTACGCAAAATTGATTTATTAAAATATTTCTGTAGCTGATTGAGCAAAACCAAGGTCATTTTCGGACTTCAAAATTAGTCTAATTCAACTGGAAAACCCTGGACTGTTTTCAAACAATATTTTTTTTGTTACCCAGTGTAATCAATGTGCAGTCTCAATTTCAAGCAGCGTAACTTTGTGATAAGAGATAAGATAAGAGTTCCTTTTTTCGTCCCACAGTGGGGAAATTTCAATGTTGCAGCGCACAGACAGGACAGTAGTAAGAGCACACAGGGAGCACACACAATATACAGAATAAGTAGTAGCTGTGTTTCTTAACTAGCACCAGTCAAAATATATATACATGTAGTAATGCAGAGTTATGTACTGTACATATGGAGCAGGATAAGAAGTAGTAGTAAAGTGACATTGTTCAGAAGATATTCTGAAGTTGCAGTAATGCACTTTGCACATGATTTAAGAAAGATTTAAAACAGTTCGGTTCAATCACAGGTGTTCATGTGCATGTATTTTTGTCCTCTGTCACTTCTTTAATCAGATTTTTCAGTCAGAAAAGTTAAAATAATATCCACCCTCACTCAGTCGAACAGCTCAGAATGTTGAAGTCTGATTTGTTCACATTATACAAGACTTTTTTTTGGGGGGGACACACAAAATGTAATTGATTTTGTAAAAATTAAAGGTCTGTATCCCACTTTAAAAGCACAAATAATAGAAAAGTTGCATAATAACTGCATTGTTGTTTAGTTCAAAGGGACATGTGCATGATAAGTCAGTTGTACCCAAAGTTAAGAGATACTAACTACTTTTGGACACTTTCTAAAACATTTTATTTGGGCTTTTTTGTGTCTATTTAAATGCAATTATGTTTTTCATCATTTTCTATGATAATTTTCTATTTTATGTCAAATTCATAATGTGTTCGATTATGTTTCTATCATAATACTCACTCAGTCAACATGTTTTCTTTTGCATGTTTTCTGTATCATTAATGAAAAAATAGCCACTGCTGTAATTTGAGATGCCATTTTTTGCAGTGCAGTATAATTGGGAAGAATGGACACAAAATGCAAAACTCTGAACAATATCGTATCTGTTTGTGGCTGACTTTAGACTGTGGCACAAGTCCCACAATGCACTATTTTTCCACTTAAAAATTAAAATAAGGGTTTATTGCTTTCTGTAGTGTGTGCGTGCGTTCGTGTGTGTGTGTGCGTGCGTGCTATGTGTGTGTGTGTGTGTGTGCGTGCGTGCTATGTGTGTGTGCGTGTGTGTGTGTGTGTGCGTGCTTGCTTTCTGTGTGTGTGCGTGCTTTCTGTGTGTGTGCGTGCGTGCTTTCTGTGTGTGTGCGTGTGTGTGTGTGTGTGCGTGCTATGTGTGTGTGTGTGTGCGTGCTTTCTGTGTGTGTGCGTGTGTGTGCGTGCTTTCTGTGTGTGTGTGTGTGTGCGTGCTTTCCGTGTGTGTGCTTTCTGTGTGTGTGTGTGTGTGTGTGTGTGCTCTTCATGCTCTTTAGGTTGGTTTTATGTCTGTGTTTGGTCATAATTTTACGTGTCCGTCGAGAGAACGAGCAAAGGGTGGAGGACAAGGACAACAAAGGTGGTGCTGCCGTGACTAAAGTTACACTAGGGCGAAATAGCTTTTCTTGGGCAGCACGGTGGCTGAGTGGATAGCACTCTCGCCTCTCAGCAAGAAGGTCCTGGGTTCGAATCCCGGTCGGACCAGGGCCTTTCTGAGTGGAGTTTGCATGTTCTCCCCGTGTATGCGTAGGTTTCCTCCGGGTACTCCGGTTTCCCCTACCGCTAAAAATATGTAAAATAGTTCTGGCATGTGCTTCCTGTACTGGCCCCGCTCCCATCTCTGTGTGGAGTGAGAGACAAATGCCCAAAAAAATAACAATTGTAAACCGCTTTGAGACTCAGCTCTGCAGTGAAAAGGCGGTATATAAATAATTATTTACTTACTACTCTTGCTTTTAAGAGTTTCATATTTGCCTCACTGTGTCTGCGTTTTATAATTCTCTGTGTGTGTGTGTGTGCTTTGTTGTGTTGGTGCCCCCGGTGTCTCCTGTTTGTATTCCAATGTAGCTTGTTTCTGCAAATGGCAAATAAATTGATTCTGATTCTGAGTTGCCGAACAGACTATAATTTATCACATTTAGTAACGTTGAGACAAAATTTGCTGATATTTTCTTAAACGGTGGTCTTGAAGCTGGTATTTAAGTATTTTTGGCTTTTGTCCCTTCTTTCGATAAACCTTTTCAGACAGAGAAGTGAAAAAGAGGGTACCAGCCTCTGTCAGCCACATCAGTATCTCGAAAGAACAGGTGAAAAGTCTGTAAATGCAAGACAGTGCAAGAGAATCAACGGCACGGTGGCTGAGTGGTTAACACTCTCGCTTCTCAGCAAGAACGTCCTGGGTTCGAATCCTGGTCGGAACAGGGCCTTGCTGAGTGGAGTTTGCATGTTCTCCCTGTGACTGTGTAGGTTTCCTCCGGGTGCTCCGGTTTCCCCTACCACTAAAAACATGCACAATAGGTCTGAATGTGAATGAGAGAGTGAATGGATGGTGTTGGGTCAGAGGCTTTGATGGACCAGTGTGTTCTGGACTCGCTTCTGTCATCACCGTGTGTGGAAGGATTGGAACAATATCTGACTCTGAACATTGGAAAGTGCTTTGGGTCTGTACCTTGGTCTGTAAAATGCGCTATATAAATAAACATGACTAATTACTCACTAGAAGTTTGGAATGAGAAGAGAACACGATTGCAATATCTCCATTTGAAATACTTTGCTCTTTTCCACTGCTCCAAACGGATTGATCGCTCCGGCCTCTTTACCGCTGCGGCACAAATGAATCAGCGTTGTTTCGCGGCCCATTCTTCAAAAGGCTCTGTGCTCTTTTCATGCAGCTGTAGGTCAGAAAACATCCTGTTCATTCTCTGTGTGTCTGGGGTGAGGCGTTCAGTGACGTGCGGTGAGTTCTGCGGTCGCTGAGACACTTCATCACAATCAGATCTACAACCACAACATGACCAGTGTGTGGCTCACTGTGTGTGACCAGTGTGTGGCTCACTGTATGTGACCAGTGTGTGGCTCACTGTGTGTGACCAGTGTGTGGCTCACTGTGTGTGACCAGTGTGTGGCTCACTGTGTGTGACCAGTGTGTGGCCAGCTCACTGTGTGTTGGACCGGAATTAGTGACTGGTGTTTCAAGTTTCATAAATGCATTCTTTACACACACAAACATGCACACGCACACACACACACACATGCACACACAAACCACAGACACACACACACACACACACGCACTCACACCGAACACACTCGCACACGCCCACACTGAACACACACACCACACATACACAATACACACTCACACCGAACATACACGCACACCTTCACACCGAACACACACACACACACACACACCACATACACAATACACACTCACACCGAACATACACGCACACCTTCACACCGAACACACACACACACACACCACATACACAATACACACTCACACCAAACACACATACACACACTCACACCGAACACACACTCACACGCTCACACTGAACACACACACACACACCACATACACAGTACACACTCACACACTCACACCAAACAAACACACACAAACACACACACACACACACACACACACACGTCCATACCAAGCATGAGAAATACCTTTTTAAACACATTTATTGTCATGAAACACTTCAGATAAACGTTGGGCCTTTACTTTGTAGATCAAAATGGTTTGGGCATTATAACAGCCATGTGCAGAAACACTGGTGAAGAGAAATGAAGAATAACAATAGTAAAAAATCACATAAAAAATTATAAAGACGTATTTTTTTGCTATTTATTTTCTCTTTCCAACATCCACCGCCTCTCCCTCTTTTATTACTGTTCCAAGTAGTATTTGTCAAATATTTTTGCCTTACATTAAAGATCATGTTGTGTTCAATTGTCCTTCAAGTATGATCTTAAGAATATACTTGTTCTGAATTTCATGTTTTTACAAGTGAAAATAAGAAATACATGGCCATTGAATTGAGAGGATCTCGAGCAGTGAAACACTTCCATCTAGTGGTAGACGAGGGAATTTTAATTTTGCTTTGTTTCTAGTTGAAGGCACACAGTTGCAAAGGCTCGAGGAATTTCCAAAACAAATTTGAAGGCAATACTTTTTTGCGTTTTAAAATCAGGAAACTGCTCTGTCCATGATGTCATAGTGTGAGGATGTGTCAGACAATATGTGAGATTGTCCTCCTGTGGACTCACCACCTGCAGAGGGTCAGTGAGGGGCTGGTGCTATGAGACTTGGGTGGCATCTCTGACTGCCACCCCCCTGACCCAGAAATGGATTAAAGGGTAGAAAATGGATGGATGGATGTTCATGTGATAAAGACAGAAGGGGCAACCATACTGTCATGTGATGAAGTGAATGAAGACCCAAAATCGCAGGAATGCCAAAAATAAGGGTTTAATGATTAAAAAAAACAACTCCATCCATCCATCCATTTTCTACCCTTTAATCCATTTCTGGGTCAGGGGGGTGGCAGTCAGAGATGCCACCCAAGTCTCATAGCACCAGCCCCTCACTGACCCTCTGCAGGTAGTGAGTCCACAGGAGGACGGCTGCTCTCTGAGTGTGA